TAAGTTTACTTATTTCTAGGTTCAATTCAATAAAAATAAAAATGGCAAATAATGGATATTGTGTACTGAGTCAGAAAATATGGTCAAGAGTAATGGAAAAATAGTTAGTAAAGTTGAGAGTATCAAATGTAATTGATGTATAAGCAATAATAATGATAATTTTGTACACAGTAATATTATGAAATATTCTCGGTTTTGTTAAATAAAATTGTTAGTTTATTTTCTGAACCACCTCGTAATGCCCACAATAATTATGTTTAGTAAAATGCACTCGCGAAAAGTCATATAAATTATGTAATTGTCTATGTAACTTTTACCCAACCAAAAACTCAAACACCTAAACAAATAAAACAAATAAGTAATTTATAATTACACACAATTGTATGGTTTAAAATGTTCTACAAAATCAATAAATAATGAAAAAAATGTATAAAGCAAAAAAAACTGTATGTAAAAAAATTTAACAGTATCTTAAAAACACTTTTTTAGGGTTTATATATTTCTAGTTTTTGTACAAAAATACTTTTAAATTCAGAGCACAGCTATTGATTTTACAATATTTGTTTTCGTTTCTTAGGTAACGAAATATAATAATTTTTTAATTTTTTTTGACTATTATATAACTCATAAATTACTCTTACAAAATCCTGTTTTTATGTATTGAAGTACTCCATAAAATACTCTGCTTCGGAATAAAGAATTCAGAGTTAATTTTTTCATTTAAAAAATGGTAACGATAAAAAATAATTGTAAAAATATTTTTTTTTCTTAGAAAAATGTTTTTCATGACCTTGTGGAAAAAAAAGTTTTTTCAAAACCGTTAATAGTTTTTGGAATAATAACTATCTCGCGTTAAATGGATCACCTGGTACAATATATAACAACAAACGGTATCGTAATATTATATGAAATCGACTTATTAGGATAAATCATACACCACCGCATTACCCGAAATTTCACGTACCTACCTAGTTACAAATTAACATAGGCACCTAAATATTCATACATTTTAAACTCCCGTTGCCACGTCACGTAGTTATGTATATTCAATATTGCACCTCGTAATCAGAACAATTATCTAAAGGATTTAATAACCCATTATAGTTTCTATTGGAACGGATTATATTGACTTTCATTGATGACAGCGTATTATTATCAAGTTAAACTGCACGCAATCGCAATGGATTACATTCAATAATCTTTTTTCAAATTGATATTCGTGTTTTTATTGAAATACAGTATTATTAAGACCTACGCGGTTTTAATTTTTAGGAAATTGCGTACTTGAATAAGTTAAACTATACATATATAATTCAATTAACCGCCGTCTAAAACTTTTATTTGCCTTTATTTTAGTCAACGCTTTTTAAACTCACGCAGCAAATGGATCGACTCATAAGGTTGAAAGGTTATTGTAAAAATTAAAAAATCACATCACCGTTAAATATGTGTAATAATTTATCACATAAAGCCCGATACTACAAAAATTATAAAATATAAATAATTATATTTTAAATGCCAGGGGTTTAATTTAAAAACAACTTCGTATATAAAATGTGACTTTACGATAATTTAATCTACGCCACAATAAAAAAGTAAATATATCTTTTAAAAGCAATTGCATGGGTGAGTTCGCCCAAAATCGTATTTCAATCAACCGGATTTCCGTTGACGGAAAATCGTAATGGATGCTTTCTTAAACCGATGTAATAGTCAAATTGTCGTTTATTAAGAAACACATTCAGGCATTCAGCAATATACTTCAATAGTTTAATACTTCGCTTCTCATCCCGTTCGGTAAATTTATTGCGAATAATTGTAATTGAATTATGTATTTATTGTTTGTCATTAGATTTAATTTTCAGTTAGAAATCTATCTCACACATTTATAGGCATATGCGACTTTTTAAGATATAAGATAATGTTTTCATAAACGTATTTATTTATTCAACTGTAAATAGCTAGGTATACTTATTATGTATGATTAATATTAGGATTAATATATATAATTTACTTCTGTACATATCCAGTAAATCCGATGATAAAAAAATAACTTTTGTATATATCAATAATAAAACTACTTAATTATAACTTAATAGCGCAGAAAGATTACCCCGGATATAACATTTAAAGGATTTTCCTACACTTGTATTGTTACATAAAACTATACTTTCAATTTTCATATAAATAAATTAAAAGCTTTCATAAAAAAAATATACACATAAAGTTTCAATGACAGGCATTAGGTATTTGCATTTAGAAATATAAATTAATACATATTTCATTATTAATTGAAAAAAAATCGAAACTTTATTGAAAAGGTTCGTTTAAAAATGCACACTTGGAATAAAAGGGTAAAGGGTTAAAATTAATGTAAATGGTGATTTTAGTAAATGTAATTTTTCAAAGTATTTATTAACAACAATACAATGTATGAATAATTTTATTGTATAAAAATATAATGGACTAAACGTGCGTTAACACGATTTTTTTCAATTTTATAATATAACAATATTTAATACCTATGTAATAATTATTAAATCTATAAACCTAATTTAAATTTGAATCGATTCAAACCTTTAGTGCCCTATTTTTATTTCAATGTTCCTCCTATTTCAGAACTTCATAGAAAATTAATCATGTTTTCGTATGAACTGTTTTCATTTTATATTAATTTCAAAATAAATTAAACTACCTATATCTCCACTTTTTTGTACAATATATTATTATTTTACATACTTGCAAAACGATAATTTAAATCATTATTTTTTATTATATTTACTTGTAACGTAAATGTAATGACTTATAACATAGGAACCTACTATTATAAATTAGTTGAAATTTAATTCATACTAACGTATAATATATATGATGAAATAAGGGATTCGTGTACTTATTTTTATAAAAACAACTGATTATTGGTTTACTTAAGTACCTCATAATAATAATTTTAAAAAACAACAGCAAGTTAAAATTATTTATGTGCAAATTTCAGTTAAACAAATAGTATGGACGTATAATTATAGTCAACGAGTGTAAATTAATATTATGATATATTACTGACCCTTAAGCAATAGGTTTATTTTTAACGAACCACTCCAACACTTTTTTTAAAATCAATTAGTAAAATAAAAAATACAAAATGTTTGTACCAAGTTCTTAATGCACAATAAATACAAATGAAAATGCGAATAAATAAAGAAATATCTTCTTCTTTAGTGTTGTCTGCAGGTTGGTTTTTAAGGAAGATGTCTTGTGGACTATATTGTAGGCGTGGTTTCAGCCTAGGTTTAGATGTTTTTTCTCTGATTTTGAAATATGTAGCTCATTTGGTTTTATTATTTAGGTTATTGTTGAAGTTTTTTTTATTAGTTACCATCCATGTTGATAGGTAAAGCATGTCATGTGTGCAGTAGCTGTTTGTTTCGCATGAACTCATAGGGACCCTGAGTGCTATTCTGAGGAATTTGTTTTCGAGAATTTGCAATTTGTTATTTTCGTTGCAAAAGTGGCAGCTCATACTGGGCATGCGTGAGTTTGAAGAAGTCTTATTATTGCCGTACATAATATATAGTAGTAGATACTAGATAGAGAATTTCACCTGCGTGGTTGAGTTGTGGTTTGATACGTTAGAATTTTTATCCTCATGTATTCTTGGTTTAGTTTTTTATTTAAGTGAATTTTCCTAGTTTGTTTTTCTTTTAGATGTACATTTACTTCTAAGTATTTTCACTGAGTCATTCGTGTTGTTCCGTTTGAATCCTTGGTTGTTAATTTTTACAAATGCTGGATTTGCTTATTTACTCGAGGTAAATATCTTAGCTTAACATTTGGTGAGATTTAGGGAACTCAAGTTTCTATAAGCTTAGAACCACAGTCCAAAACTATATAATTATTCCAAAGAAGACCGAGTAAGGAGTATAATGAGTATATAACGACTATAATATAAATAGTAAATAGTCACATCATTTAACTAAAGCAATGTGCAATTCGAATTTAATCTCAAACTAATCTAAGTACCAACGCCTACTATAATGTCGTATAAATGTATAATATGAGACAAAGTATGATTCATTATAAAAACCCATAACTTACCTAACTAACTATATGGTATTAAAAATATGTAGGTACCTAAACTCAGTTTTTTTGGATGTGCTTAATAATTACAATTTACCATTTGCCATGGTTGGCCAAAGACGATTTTGATTTATCGATTACAAACGTAATACCTACAACTTTAAAAATATTTTAATTTAAATATAAAAATTATTTTAATTCGATATTGGTTAACATTAATATATAATATTCTCTACTCCCAAGAATTGACATATTTTAACGATTCATAAAAGTAGGTATTTTATGGAAAATAATTGTTTTGGATTAACGCACGAAATTAATTAAAGATTCCACTGAAATATAATTTCACTACCTCCAGTATATTGTATAAAGCTCAATTTCTTCGTATTTCACCTTTATTGTATCACTTTCAAAGATTTGGATTTAATTTTGAACACCATAGCCGCAACAAAACAAACGACTCAAAGTAAAGTTTTGTAGCTTTCGCTGAGTGCAAATATTTGCTCCAAAGGATTAAATTTAAACTCGTTTACTGAATTACAGGCCATACTCATACATAAAATTTATTAAAACAGGCGATATTACTGTTCATCATATCCTTTTGTATTATAATGTCTTTCATTCTTACTTTAAGGCGGATCTTAAGTAGATTATTTGAATGTACAATGACACTAAAAATTATTTAAAATATAAAATCGTTACCAATACCAATTACTTCAAAAATCAATAATAATTTGCTTAAAACCAAATAATTATTAATTGATACTGTGAAAACACTGTGTTATATTTTGAGTTCATCTATGGTAAAACTGAATTTGTTATAAAAACTATTACACAGCTGTTTTTGATACATTAAATTTCATACATCATTCTTAACTTTACGAGTGTAGGTGTAGGTATACCATTAGATATAAAATAGTAAAATGTCAACAACTACACAAGAACACATCATGGCCGGAAACCTCTTGGTAAGTTAACTTTGAAACTTGTTTGTTTCTATGACATGAGTAATTTTTTCTCGGGCTTTATAAATATAACTGATTTGCTTTGAAGGTCGGTATAGTTGGAAATAATTGTATTGTCATTGCTGCCGAAAAATTTTTTGAAAATCAAAACACTATTTGTTCACTGGATGGTAAAATCACTGTCGCCTGGTCAGGTAAACATAATAAAAGTGAATATAATAATGAATTTAAAAGTACCTACGCCAATCACATATAGAAATAGGTCTTAGAAATTGAAACGTTCGCTTTCTAATCATTGAAGTAAAATAAACATATTGTTTTACGATTTTCATAAAGAAAATAGTACCTCAGCTAGTATATCAAAACTACTTGCATGTATAATATAAATTGCATGAATATAAAAAATGCGTATTTATTTAGAACGATTGATGTATATGTATTGAACACAGTATTACAATATAATATAAAATTATAAACACAAAACAAAAAAATATTTTCAAGTGATTATCTATTTATTGTATTTAAACCTAGGTATTGCTCATTTCTGTGCCACATTTATTACTTAGTAGTTAATACTTCTAATAAAATAGATTTTATTTTAGAATTTAATAGGTACGAATCATTAAATGTTATAAATTTCTAAGTTAAGTAGATATATTGTTTTTAATTATAATCCAAATAATAAAAGAAAAATGTATGGGCATTTTAAATAACTTTTTACATTTTTTTGTGGATAATAATATTAATAACTATCAACTAACTGATTATTAGTTAAGCAAATCATATTGTTTCTAGGATACTCATCCGATTCATTGATGATTGTTGACAAAGCTAAGATGTATACTAACAGCGTACATGGACTAAATTCACCAGGCGATAGAGTCGCAGAATTTTTAATTGGTAATAAAATATTATTTCATTTACCTACTTAAAATTTATTATTTAAAAAAAAAAAATTTTCGACATTAAAAACAGACTTCTACAACAATTGTACAAATTCAAAATATGTTTTATTAACCATACTTATTTCATAACTGATTTAAAAAACTGTTCAAGTATAAGGTTTGTCGAAAATAATTCAGCTTATATTAAAAATTACATAGATAGGTGCAATAGTTGAAAAATAATTTGTATTTATTCAATAGATCCTGAAATCAGAGTACTCAATAATCTACCAACTTTGCCATACACTGAATCATTCATGGTTGCTTCTTGTGATAATAATGGACGAAATTTATATGTCACTGACACATATGGTACCATATCACATGTTCTTGTGAGTATTATTATTGTTTAGTTATTAATTAGAAAACAAGTTAATATTATACTCCCACCCTCGCACCCGTCGAAAAAGTCATCACTGATGAGTGTATTTTTTCTCGTGCAACTTAAAGTCAACATTACTTTCACCACATAGGTACCTACGCTAATTGCATATTATTATATTGCATATAATATGTATATATCGTTTAAAAAAATAACAACAATAATATTTTCTTTTAAAATAGTAACGGAAAGTTATTATTAATATGATAATCAGATTAATGATATATTATATATTTAGGCTAGTGCAGTAGGAAGAAAAAGTGATCTGGTAACAAATTTTTTGGCTGAAAATTATTCAGCTGCTAACAAAAGTATTTTAGGAACCATAGAGTTTGCATTGAAGACATTGTGCGTAATCAGTGAACCAGACTCTAAGTTTATTGATGTTTCGGTTACAGCATTTAATAGACCATTCGAATTAAGTATATTTTTTTAAAAATTCTTATAGACACTTAAACAATAAAATATTAAATTAGATTTTTTTAAATTTTAGGTTGTTGATAAAAACATAGTCAGTCAATTTTTATCAAAAATTGAATTCTCAAGAATAGTTAATGCTGCGGTAAAGATTGATAATATTATGTAATGCTATAATGAAAATCTTTGTTTCTAAAATTAATTTGTATTGTAAAAATGATATAGGTAGTTAGATTTATTTTTAAATTTTTTTTTTAACTTGTTAAAAAAATATACCTATGCCAAAAAATTGGACAAATATTTTTTTTCTATCAAAAACCCCTAAAATAAATAATTTTGTTTTAATCATTATTCTTCTTTATTCTTAATTCTTTGTTAACCTTCTTAAAAGTTAAAATTAAAAGTTAGGGAAAGTATTACTGTCATCTGTCTTATATTATAAATTGCCAAAATGGAAAATAATCTACCTAGATAATAATTATATAAGTTAAGGACATTTTTTAAATGAGGTATTGAGATATATCATAAAAGTAATAATATATTGATCTAATTTTAGATAACCTTAATCGAAATAATATAAAATAAAATACCTATATTAAACCTCCCATCAACTATTGTTGAACAAAAAACAAAAGATGCAACCAGGAGATTGAAAATGAATAGATAGTTAAGATAAGAATATTATGAAACTAAGACTACAAAAAAGAACAAGAAATGTATTGCCCTTCCAGGAATTTAAAAAAAAAATCTTTACTTTTTAATATTATAGTGTCTTTAAATTATGAATACTTATTTTTGTTTTAAACACAATCCAAATGTGTATATATATATATTATGTTAAAAGGTTTATGCGATTAGAATTAATACTTCTCATAGACACTATGTAATATATTATTAGATATGAATGTATTCACTTATAGAAAACTGAGCTAGACATTAATATAAATTAGTAAACCTTGAACATGAATTACCTACATGATAAATATAAATATATAATAAAATATTAATTATTAATTTATTGAATATAAATATTAAATGCTATACTATTTTATATATTCCAAATATTACCATCTTTTACGGTTTCAACCCACAAGAGCCTGAGGTTTTATTTTTATTATTTTTATTTCAATAGAGTTTAGTACCTATCTACTAGATTCCACTTAGAAGAAAATTCCATTACCTTTGTAATACGGGCGACCCCTTTTCGGCCGAAATTTACTCTTTCCTTTTCGGCTAGTACCGTTTTCTTTAAAATTTTTAGCTATAACAACTAAACTTAACAGTTTTTAAGTTTAATTAAATATGATTGTATTCCAAAAATGGGGGTTTTTTTATAAGATTATTACCTACAACTGTGTATTAACAATTTTTTGATAATGAAATAAAATAATTGTCAAAATGGCATACAATGTTGTAACATATTATTACATTAGTCGAATCAAAATTATTTTTATTGTTTACAAATTTTACTTATATTATGGCCTTTACTTTTCAAAATGAAATCTTAATATTTGACATAATCATGAACGCATATTATTTTGTTATTATAATTTAATTAGGTGTATAATGCTGTATAAATTTTTATTGGACAAATGCAATATGTTATTGTAAACTATTTTACTTTATTTTTTTCACACAGTTGTAGTTGTAGGTACACATTTTTGGATACAATTTAATTAAATACACAAATTTTTAAGTGCAGTTGTTACAATTATAAATTTTAATGAAAACTGTACTGGCCGAAAAGGGAAAGATAAGTTTCGGCTTAAAAGGCAAGGGTACATTTTGGCCGAAAACGCTGACGCCCTAATACACAGTGACGAAGGATAAATTGTCTCAGTTATTTTACGATGAAATATTTAAAATTATTTCATGATTTCAATCCTGTATGTTTGATTAATAATAGCCTTTTATTGGATGATTTCATACATTTTTTTCACATTCTTATTTTCTCTAATATATACGATATATCATACCTTGATATATTGTATGTCTTTTGAACAATAAAATCAAATATTTTATAAGTATTTAAATTTGAAGATATTCTAATATTAATGGTTTATAATTAGAATATTTCATAATAATTATAAAAAATTATTTCATTATATTTATATTTATTTATAGTATCAAAACAGCTCATGAAACTTGACGGCAATAATATAATATTTTTATTTTTATTTTTTACGGAAACTACTGTAACAAAGTGTGTATTAATATATTAAAAACATTATTCAAATTAATAGTTGACTTTAACAATTGTTTACTAAATTTTAACAATAAATGATATCGTAGGTTTAATTTTGGAAGAAAAAATTTATTTCGAGTTTAAAGTTTCGAAATGTAGCTTGTAGAGCAACACAGTATACGTAAATGTTCACAATTTTAAACTCTACGTAACTTTTACGACTTGGAAATATGTTTACCTAAATGTTAAATAAAAACAACATTTCTTTCAAATGCTTCAAATAGTTTATCCTAATCATTCATCCGGAAGGGCGAAACATATTTTTAAGCATAAAGTAAATAGCAGTGGTAAAATAATGTTCTTTCGTGAATACATGTTTGATTCTTATTCATTTTTTTTTTTTGTGCTCAACTTCCATTTCCTCCGTGTACCCAGAAAGTTATTTCCATTTTATTTTCATATCGAACGGTACACCCCCTCCACCATCCCATCGACCCTAAGCTGTTCCGTTAGTAGGTTTTTATGTAGAAGTCGACTGAAAGGTTTTCGGGTAATTCCATTGTCGTCGTGTCGCGGCAAAGTTTTTACGCATATATTATGATATTGTTCCACGTGGTAGTACGTCTGGGCTATACGGAAGTAACACACGAAAGTTTCGGAATGAATATTCGTGTGGGAGGAGTAGCAGTATTTTTTTATTTTTCTAAAGCAGCTCAAATATGATCTAAACATATTTTTGTCAAATGCGTGAGTAGGCATGTGTGTGTGGGTGCGTATACAATAATATGTAAAAGACACTTGAAAGAAAAACCCTTAGTCTCAAATAGGTAGTTATAGTGAAATGTTCGGAACGAGTAGAATGGTTGTATTTTATCTTATCGAGACGTATGGCTGCATAATTTTTCTTTTTAAATGATGGGTACCAATTTATTATTATTTTAACCTTCAAAAAGCATTATAAAAATAATATGATAATATAGGTAATAATTATGGTGATTTAAAGAGTACCTAATTTATACAATAAGTAGAGTTGATTTAATTAAATAAAATGTTCTAAAACAAATATACAATATAACCATTATTTTTTTTATATTTAGTAGTTAGATATGCCTATAGTTTTACTATCGAAATAATTAAGACTCTACTACCTATACCTACCAATATCAGAAATGAGATTAAAACCGTTGATTCGATAATTATTGGGTATTTTATAGTTTAACTTCCACTTGGTTCAATTGGACAATATAAAAATACACAATTTTGTATTAGGTGTTTATTTATACCGAGAAATTTGAAGTCAGTTCGCAATTATTACCTATAGGCTATGAGACAACAAAACCCCCTTTCTACATATGTACAAGGATATATGATGTATATGGATAAATAATGTTATGAAAGGACATCAATTTGTAAATCGTCAATAGCTAAAATATTGAACATATGATAAATATTTTAATATAGATATAGTTTTATGATTAATGGCATTATTCAGTTTGGTTACGAAATTCGAAAGTGGGGGTGCGAGGGAAATGCACCTAGGGTAGGTATGTAAATCTGTAGTAGGGGCATTTCCCTGGCACCCCCACTTTCGAATTTTGGAACTAAACCTGGGGCTATCGAATATTCTACGTTTGTTCTTGTTTGTTCCAAAAATTTCGTCGTCTGAACCATCCCCGTAATTATTTTTTTTTTGGCAAATATTACAAGTTTTTTGCCAGCCCCCAGACTTTGCCTGGTGGATTCAAAAAATACTCTTATATTCTGCAAATCAATTCCAAATTGTTTTAATGATAAACAAATCTACTTTGAATAAACAAATCTAAGTTAAATTAAAAAATTTTAATTTGATAAAAAATTTAAATTCAATAACAAAAAACCCAATTTGAACAAAAATAAAAACCCAAGTTGAATAAAAGAGGTCAATTAATTTTTTTTTTTTAATGTTTAATTTTTTTGAATCCACCAGACAAAGTCTCGACAGAAAAAAATATTGATTTGAGAATTATTAAGACCGATTTGCAAAAGGTTAACTTAACCCCACAGTAAATCGGCCATAAGTCGGGAACGAAAATGGAAGAAACGATGAAAATGTTCGGAACAAACAAGAACAAACGAAGAACAATCGAAAGCCCCCGGTTTAGTTCCAAAATTCGAAAGTGGGGGTGCCAGGAAAATGCATCCACGTACACTACAGATTTTAGTTTAATTTGTTTATTGACTATTGAGGTTTATTAACTGTGGTAAAGAAGCTTAAGTGTTTATTCTGATTCTTGGAAATTATCATTGCCCTTTATACAGGGGTTAAAGTGGAGGGAGACGTAGGAGGACTCAGTCCCCCTACCACTGGCGGCGTTTAAAGAGCGTCCCCTCTGACAAATTAGGATTTAATACATTCGACATTATACATAAAATTATATATGGAACGCTTAAAAGTTAAAACTATGTAGAGACATTAGTCCCTTCTGGAATTTTTTCCCACATTAAGCCTTTATATAATAAATGAAAAGTGGATGGGTATCAAGTTAACGTTTCCTAGAATATGTGTTTGACAAAATATACTTATTCGGGCTTAAAATAAAAAAAGTGAGACAATTTTGTGACTATATATATTCAATAGGTATAATTCGATACACACTATTATATTTTAATGTTTATACTTTGGCACTACGCTCGATCAGGCATTTGACACTTATGTCACTTCAATCACTTCAGTTTGAGATATCGTGGTGTGTTGAGGAATTAATTTATAATTTTAAAATCAATAATAATTAATCGTTCGTCAAATTTGAAAAATAATTTTGTGTGAAGATGGATTATAACTGCGTCAAATCAAGATTTCAACCATTTTAATTTCTACAACATTACACTTGAAGAAACTACTAAGAAAATCGAAAAATGA